CTTTGGATGTTGCCAACAAAATTGGGATCATCTAAACTGAGTCCAGCTGGCTAATTCTAAATATATGTATATCTTTTCACCATAAAAAAAAAAAAAAAAAAGCATTTTGTTTTATGGAAAGGGTCTCATTCAGTTGCCCAGGCTGGAGTGCTGTGCCACAGTTAGCTCACTGCAGCCTCGAACTCTCAGCCTAAGCAATCCTCCCACCTCAACCACCAGAGTAGCTGGGACCACAGGGGCCTGCCACCACACCCAGCTAATTTTTTGTATATTTTGTACTGACGGGGTTTCGTCATGTTGCCCAAGCTGCTCTCAAACTCCTGGATTCAAGCAATCTGCCCACCTCAGTCTCACAAAGTGCTGGGATTACAGGTGTGAGCCACTGTGCCCAGCTCCATATTCTATTGGTCAAAAGCAAATTACAAGAACCACACTGAAGGGGAGGAGAATTAGGCTCCATGTACTGAAAGTGGGTTGCCCAAGAATCTTTGGATATATTTTAAAATAACTTCAGGCCGGGCACCGTGGCTCACACCCGTAATCCCAGCACTTTGGGAAGCCGAGGCGGGTGGATCACCTGAGATCAGGAGTTCAAGACCAGCCTGGCCAACATGGTGAAACCCGTCTCTACTAAAAATACAAAAACTAGCCAGGTGTGGTAGCACATGCCTGTAATCCCAGCTACTTGGGAAGCTAAGGCAGGAGAATTGCTTGAACCCGGGAGGCAGACGTTGCAGTGAGCCAAGATCACACCACTGCACTCTGGCCTGGCCCACAGAATGAGACTTTCTCAAAAAAACACAAAAAACAAAAAAACAACAACAAAAACAAGGTGACAGGTTATCGCTCTGTCACCCAGGCTAAAGCACCTCAACATGATCACAGCTCACCGCAGCCTCAAAATCCTGGGCTCAAGCAATCCTCCTGCCTCATCCTCCTGAGTAGATGGGACTATAGGCATGTATCACCATGCCCTGCTATTTTTTTTTTTTTTTTAAATTTTAAAATGTTTTTGCAGAGATGGAGGTCTCACTATATTGCCTAGGATGGTCTGGAACTTCTGGCCTTTGGGCCTTTCAAAGTGCTGGGATTACAGGCATGATCCACCAGGCCTGGCCAACTTTTGATAATGTGAAGTTAGATCATTCAAACGTTAAAGCTGTTGGAACTTTAAATTATTCTGAGCCTTGAGAGGAATGTTGCTATGTAGCCTGAGTCACGTAGCATGCAGTTACAACTTCTGCTTTTTCCTGTAACTGATTAAGAATGACCAAGCAGTGCCAGAGATAAGATCAGCTCAGAACATTGCTCCTAGCCCAGGCGCTGTGGTCTCATGCTTATAATCCCAGCACTTTGGGAGGCAAAGTTCAAGGATCACTCGAGCCCAGGAGTTTGAGACAAGCCTGGGCAACATAGTGAGACCACATTTCTACGGAAAAATATATCAATATATTAAAAAATTAGCTGGGCATGGTGGCACATGCCTGTAATCCCAGCTACTGGGGAGACTGAGGTGGGAGACTGAGGTGGGAGGCTTGAGCCTGGGAGTTCGAGGCTGCAGTGAGCTGTGATTGTGCCACTGCAGTTCCGCCTGGGTAACAGAGCAAGATCTTATCTCAAGAAAAAAGAAAGAAAGAAAAAGAAAGAACGAATATTCCTCCTCCTCACAGAATGTGAACGCAATCTTCCTTGCAGCATAGCAAGCTGTTCCAATGAAATTGCTGTTAACATACATACTGGCCTTATAGCCTGGAATAAATTCTATAGTTAATCATATTTTCTTTTCTTTTTTTTTTCCTTTTTGAGAGTGGGAGTCTTGCTCTGTCACCCAGGCTGGAGTGCAGTGGGGCGATCTCTGCTCACTGCAACCCACCTCCCAGGTTCAAGTGATTCTCCTGCCTCAGCTTCCAAAGTAGCTGAGATTACAGGCGTGTGCTAGCACGCCCAGCTAGTTTTTGTATTTTTTAGTAGAGATAGGCTTTCACTATATGTCGGCCAGGCTGGTCTGGAATTCCTGACCAAGCCCAGCTAGTTTTTGTATTTTTTAGTAGAGATAGGCTTTCACTATATGTTGGCCAGGCTGGTCTGGAATTCCTGACCTCAGGGTATTCACCTGCCTCAGCCTCCCAAAGTACTGAGATTACAGGCATGAACCAGTGAACCTGGCCTTAATCAGATTTTCTGAATCTCACTATTTATGGTGGACAATAATTTTTTTTATTTTATTTAACATGGATACATGGGAGCCTTCAGAATGAAGACCCTAGCCAGGCGCGGTGGCTCATGCCTATAATCCCAGCACTTTGGAAGGCCAAGGCGAGCGGATCACCTGAGGTCAGCAGTTTGAGACCAGCCTGGCCAACATGGTGAAACCCTGTCTCTACTAAAAATACAAAGGTAGGAGGTGCAAGCCAGGTTGTGCAGAGCCTTGGGATGCATGGTAAGACTTTGGCTTCTGCCCTGAGTGATGGGGACCACTGGCGGGGTCTGAGCAGATGGGACCTGACTTAGGTGTTCACAGGGTCCCAGCTGCATGCAGGGTACTAGGTGGGCTGGGGAAGGGGGTCCCAGAGACAAGGTTCCTGTCATAGTCCAGGTGAGAGATGAACTTGGACAGATCGAGGTACTAGGTAAGACAGAGGTGAGATGTGGGATTTAGGATGTATCTCTTTCTCTTTCTTTTTTTTTTTTGAGACAGAGTTTCACTCTTGTTGCCCAGGCCGGAGTGTAATGGCTTGATCTCGGCTCAGCGAAAACTCTACCTCCCGGGTTCAAGCAATTCTCCTGCCTCAGCCTCCTAGCAGCTGGGATTTTACAGGTGCACACCACCACGCCCAGCTAATTTTTGTATTTTCAGTAGAGACAGGTTTCACCATTTTGGCCAGGCTTGTCTCGAACTCCTGACCTCATGATCTGCCCAAGTAGGCCTCCCAAAGTGCTGGGATAACAGGCATGAGCCACCACGTCTGGCCAAGATCTTTTTTTGTTTGTTTATTTCCCCAGCTCCAGCTCAAAGGAAAGAAACATCATTTAAAAGTGAAATCTCAGCTGGGTGCGGTGGCTCACTCCAGCTTGGGCAACAGAGTAAGACTCTGTCTCAAAAAAAATTTAAAAAGTCGCTGGGGCCGAGAAAGGTGTCTCATGCCTGTAATCCCAGCACTTTGGGAAGCTGAGGCAGACAAATCACATGAGGCTAGGAGTTCGAGAGGAGCCTGGTTAACACGGTGAAACCCCATCTCTACTGAAAATACAAACATGAGCCAGGCATAGTGGTGCGCACCTGTAATCCCAGCTACTCAGGAGGCTGAGACAGAAGAATCGCTTGAACCTGGGAGGTAGAGGTTGAAGGGAGCCGAGATCACACCAGTGCACTCCAGCCTGGGTAACAGCGAGAGAGTCTGCCTCAAAATAAAACCCCAAACAACAACAACAAAAACAAAATTATAAGGAAGGGGCAACATTTCAATAGGATAACATTTATATTAAACAATTCAATGGACTATTTCACTAGCAGATATATGCGTTAATTTTTGTAGAGATGGGGTCTTGCTATATTTGAACTTCTGGCCTCAAGAGCTCTTCCTGCCTCAGCCTTCAAAAGGGCTGAGATTACAGGCATGAGCCACTGCGCCTAGCCAATGGTAGCTTTTCAATACTTCTATCTATTGGCCAGGCTGGGTGGTTCAGTCTGTAATCCCAACAGTTTGGGAGGGCGAACTGGGAGGACAGCTAGAGTCCAGGAGGTCAAGACAAGACTGGGCAACATAGCAAGACTCCATCTGTTTTTTTTTTTTGAGACGGAGTCTCGCTCTGTACCCCGGCCGGAGTGCAGTGGCGCGATGCCGGCTCACCGCAACCTCCGCCTCCTGGGTCCCGGTTCAAGCAATTCTCCTGCCTCAGCCACCCGACTAGCTGGGATTACAGGCCTGAGCCACCGCGCCTGGCAAGACTCCCATCTCTTAAAAAAAAATAATTAGCCAGCCGTGATTGCGCATGTCTGTGATCCCAGCTACTGGGAGGCTGAAGCAGGAGGACCCCTTGAACTCAGAAGAGGTTGCAGTGAGCTGTGATCGAGCCACCGTACTCCAGCTTGGGTGACAGAGACCCTTTTATGGGACCTGATGACTGGCTGGATGCGGGAAATGATGGCATCTAGGATGACATCCAGGCATAACATCTCCATTTCTTTATTGAAAAATCAATCAATAGGAAAGAGGATTTTCTGCAAATAAGAGGATCTAAGTTCCTCATTTCTCTTCGCTACCCCAACCGCTCCTTGCTCAGAATCAAGCAGTAACAGTGAACTAGGTAGAAGGAGGTTGGACTTATCTGACCTTGAGAAGCCTAGCGGAACTCTTAAAACGGAAGCGGAACCCACTTCCCAACTTCTCCACTCTCAGAATGAGTGACTTTTTTTGCTTTGTTTTCCAGTTCCAAGGCAGGGGATGTACAAGAGGTCCTAGAAGGAATTCCCCCTTGCTCCTGGCGCAAGTCTGATTTGTGATCCCAGACCACAGAGAGCTCTTAGGTGGGTTGGAGCAAGGAGGGGTGGGCGGAGCACGAAGCGGTGAGGGATCTGCTTTTTTGGTAAAGACGATAGCTAGGAGAAACTACACTCAAACTTCCTCAGCCACACTCAAGATGGCAGCTTCCTAGCCACCCCCAAAATGGCGTAACCCTTTGCCGCGGCTGGAGAGATGCTATTTTCCCAAAACGGAGCGAGAAGAGGAAAATGTCCATCATAGCTTCACCCCACCCCCCAACCCCCCCCCCCCCACCCGCGGACGGCTAGCACCAATCACAGGCGCGCAGGGCGGTTACAAAGCCAGGGGAGGAGCCTGCTGTTGCCCCAGCAACAACCAGGGAACCAAAGGCGAGCGCGACAGCAGAAGTATTGCGGCTTCCATCTCTCGCAGACAGGAAGGTTCTGGGAGAGGCGCGAGCCAAGCCTGGTCGGCGCCTGCGGAGAAAAGGACAAGTCAAACCCACGAACTACAAACCTCGTTACAGCGTTCGCGTCTCCTAACCGTTAAGGGCGCCAAGGTAGGAATAACGCATGCGTGGTGCCTAGAGGCGGGGCTAAGGCGGCCCTGAACTCATAACGCATGCGCCTTATGGAGCTGGGGGGGGGGGGGGGGCGGCCGGGACGGGGGGGGCGGGGATGTTGCGCTCGTAGGCGGGGCCTTCCGCGGAATTGAACCTAAAGAAGTTCTTTTAGACCTAGCAGAACTAAGTGCTGGCTCCCCAGACAAGGGTTCCCTCATTTTTTCCAGGCTTTCCTGGGTTGGGAATTAGGATCTGTGGCCAAGACCTCAGCCCCAGGGGTTTGACGAAGGTACCTTGGAATCCTAGTACTACCCTTTACCTGGTGAGGCGCAGTTCCCCGCGCTCTCGCCCCGCCCCCCCTCCCCCCCATCAAATGGAGATAATACACTCACCTCACAGGGTCGTGATTATATTTTTCCTCCCAGGGCCATGGCTGAGGTGCATGTGATCGGGCAGATCATGGGGGCCAGCGGTTTCTCGGAAAGTAGCCTCTTCTGCAAGTGGGGCATCCACACAGGTATTCCCCCAGGCCTGGTTCATTTCCACACCAAGACCTCTAGCCTAGAGGCTGCACGCTCCTTCCTCGACCCCTTAATGCAGCCTCTTAACCTCATCTTCCATCAGCTCTGAGTACTCCAGTACCAGCCCACACCCTGTCCACCTGAGTCTCAAGCTCCTGTCTTTTTTTGGAGAGGAGGGGAGACAGACAGGCTCCTTCTCTCTCACCCAGGCTGGAGTAAGGTGGTGTGATCATAGCTCACTGCAGCTTCCAACTCTCGGGCTCTAGTGATCCTCCCACCTCAGTCTCTTGAGAAGCTGGGACTACAAGCATGCACCACCAAGTCTGGCTAATATTTTTATTTTTTGTACAGACAGGGTCTCGCTATGCTGCCCAGGCTGGTCTTGAACTCCTGGGCCCAAGCAATCCACCCACCTCCGCCTCCCAAAGTGCTGGGATTACTGAGACATCATGCCCCAGGAAAGTCGTGTTTTTCATGCTTCCCAGCTGAGGCCCTGTAGAGTCATGGGATAGTAATGGTTAGGGCCATGGGCTGCCAGATCTGGTTTTAAATACTGACTCCCCACCTATTAATTGGAGACCTTTGGACTTGACCTCTTTGAGCCTCAGTTTCCTTGTCTGAAAGTGAAGCCGATAGCAGCTAAGAAGCAGCACAGGGTTGAGGTTAAGAGCATAGACTCGGCCGGGCGCGGTGGCTCACGCCTGTAATCGCAGCACTTTGTGAGGCCGAGGCGGGTGGACACGAGGTCAAGAGATCGAGACCATCCTGGTCAACATGGTGAAACCCCGTCTCTACTAAAAATACAAAAAAAAAAAAAAATCAGCTGGGCATGGTGGCGCGTGCCTGTAATCCCAGCTACTCAGGAAGCTGAGGCAGGAGAATTGCCTGAACCCAGGACGCGGAGGTTGCGGTGAGCCGAGATCGCGCCATTGCACTCCAGCCTGGGTAACAAGAGCGAAACTCCGTCTCAAAAAAAAAAAAAAAAAAAAAAAAAGAGCATAGACTGCCTGGGTTCAAAACCAGTTATTGCTTGTTAATGCAACCGTGGCCTGGGGGGGGTTGAAGTGGGCGGATCACTTGAGGTCAGGAGTTCAAGACCAGCCTGGCCAACATGGTAAAACCCCGTCTCTACTAAAAATACAAAAGAATTAGCTGGTCATGGTGGCGAGTGCCTGTAATCCCAGCTACTCAGGAGGCTGAGGCAGGAGAATCGCTTGCACCTGGAAAGCAGAGGTTGCAGTGAGCTGAGATCGTGCCTCTGCACTCCAGCCTGGGTGATGGAGTGAGACTCTCTCAAAAATAAATAAATAAAAGAAATGAGTGCAGTTGGGCATGGTGACTCACACCATCCCAGCACTTTGGGAGGCTGAGTTAGAAGGATCAGTTGAGCTCAGGAGTTTGAGACCAGCCTGGGCAACATAGTGAGACCCCTGTCTCTACAAAAAATAAAAAAGTATCAGGGCATGATGGATGGTATGTGCCTGTGGTCCCAACTACTCAGGAGGTTGAGGCAGGAGGATTGCTTGAGCCTGGGAGGTTGAGGCTGTAGTGAGCTATGATTGTGCCACTGCACTCCAGCCTGGGTGACAGAGGGAGACTGTCTCCAAATTTAAAAAAAAAAAAAGAGGTCAGGCGCAGTGGCTCATGCCTGTAATCCCAGCACTTTGGGAGGCCGAGGTGGGCGGATCATGAGGTCAGGAGTTCGAAGTTCGAGACAGGGCGAGACTCCCTCTCAAAAAAGGAACACTGTGATTACAGGACAGTGGTAAGTGCTAGGATGAAAAGAATGATGTGACAGGGACCTGTGTTTGGAGAAGAGGGACAGGGAGTACTCCTCTGTGGAAGTGGCATGTGAGCTGAGCCCTGAAGGATGAAAACAAACTAGGGATGGGGACACCCAGGAGCAGAGCTTTCCAGGCAGAGGGAACAGCCAGTGCAAAGGCCCTGAGGTGGGGAGACAGAAGTGGGACCAGTGAGGCCAGAGGGTGATGAGGGAGGGGGAGAGTGGCGGAAGATGAACTCAGGAAGGAGAGCAAGAGCCAGGCCATGGAGGCCATGGTGGAGAGTCTGTAAACAGGGGTGAGGAGGGGATTAAGAATCCTATAGGGTGATTTAAATGAATGCATTGCCTAAAGTGCTTAGCATAGCATCTGGGATTTTGTAAGTATTCAGTGCATTTTTCTTTTTTTCCTACTCTTTTTTTTTTTTTTTGAGATGAGTTTTACTCTGTTGCCCAGACTGGAGTGCAATGGCATGATCTCGGCTCACTGCAACCTCTGCCTCCTGGGTTCAAGCGATTCTCCTGCCTCAGCCTCCTGAGTAGCTGGGATTACAGGCACGCACCACTACGCCCAGCTAATTTTTGTATCTTTGGTAGAGACGTGGTTTCACCACGTTGGTCAGGTTGGTTTCAAGCTCCTGACCTCATGGTCTGCCTACCTCAGGCTCCTAAAGCTGAGATTACAGGCATGAGCCAGTGCGCCCGGCCACTCAGTGCGTTTTAGCTATCATCACGCCTTAGTAGCATCTAAATTGTTACACGTGTTTCAGGATGTGCTTCTGGAGGGTACCCTTGGCCCCATCTTAATCCTTGGACTAGGCTTGTGAATGTGGGGTTAGAATAGTAAGATGATATTGAAGACTTATCCCACATTCACTATGCCCCTTGCAGTGTTCCAAGGGCTTTATATTAACTCACTTAATTGTCTCACCAAACTATGAGTGCTGTGGTTTGAATGTGTGTTCCCTCCAAAACTCATGTTGAAACTTAATCCCCAATGTGGCAGTATTAAGAGGTAGGGTCTTTAAGAGGTGATTAATCCCTTCAGGACCCCCATGAATGGATTAATCTATTCACGGATTAATGGGTTAATGGATTACTGTGTTATCATGGGAGAGGAACTGGTGGCTTTGTATATAATGAGAAAGAGAAACCTGAGTGGCATGTTGGCACACTAGCCTTGGGAATCTTCGGAGAGTCCCCCCAGCAAGAAGGCTCTTACCAGATGGGACCCCTCCACCTCAGTCTCCCATAACTGTGAGATAGAAATTCCTTTCCTTTATAAATTACCCAGTTTTGGATATTATGTTAAGAGTAACAGAAAACAGGCTGGGCGCAGTGGCTCACGCCTGTAATCCCAACACTTTGGGAGGCCAAGGCAGGTGGAACACGAGGTCAGGAGATCGAGACCATTCTGGCCAACAAGGTGAAACGCCATCTCTACTAAAAATGCAAAAATTAGCTGGGTGTGTGGTGTGTGCCTGTAGTCCCAGCTACTTGGGAGGCTGAGGCAGGAGAATCACTTGAACCCGGGAGGTGGAGGTTGCAGTGAGCCGAGCTTGTGCCACTGCACTCCAGCCTGGCGACAGAGCGAAATTCTGCCTCAAAAAAAAAAAAAAAAAAAAAAAAAAAGAAAACAAATGAAGAAAATGAGGAATGCATTATTACTCACCTATTTTACAGATGGGAAGACTAAGGCAGAGAAAGGTAATTTGCTTAAGGTTGCACAGGCAGGAAGAAGTAATGCCAGGATTTGAACCCAGATATTTGGCTCCAGAGTCCACGCTTCGTAACCCCTACAAGCAGATGCCACAGAGAAACACAGTCCTGTAGCCACAGCAGAATCCCCTTCCCAGTGGCTGCCTCCCACCCCTCTATGTCCTGGCTCTCATTGCAGGGGCTGCGTGGAAGCTCCTATCAGGTGTGCGGGAGGGCCAGACGCAGGTGGACACCCCCCAGATAGGGGAAATGGCCTACTGGTCCCACCCCATCGACCTGCACTTTGCCACCAAAGGTCTTCAAGGTGGGTACTACCCCTGGGCCCGGGGCCAGGCTGAGGGGAGGAGGCCAGTAGCATCTGAAGCCCCTGGGGCTGGGAACACCAAGACCTGTCCCTGCTCCGCATACCACGTGGGTGTCTTTGGCAGCCAAGTCTGGCCCTAGAGAGGCTGAGCTAAGGCTTTCCCAGGCCTGCTCAATAGTAGATCCCAAGTTTGTAGGATTAGGGCTGAGGCCAGGTTGGAGGAGTAGATGGGAAGGTGGGGGTCAGGGTGGGAGGGGAGGTGGCATTCAAGTAAAGAGACGAACCAAGAGTCTCCAAAACAGAGGAGGCCAGGAGGCGGGGTCTGAGAGCGGCAAGGGCTGGTTCTCTAGGAAGGAATCCTCAGCTTGAAAATAGAGCGCTGCTCAAAGGGGAAATGAGTACTGGGGGAGGAGCTGCATCAGAAAACCTTGCTGGTTTTTTTTGGAGACAGAGTTTCACTCTTGTTGCCCAGGCTGGAGTGCAATGGTGTGCTCTCGGCTCACTGCAGCCTCCACCTCTCGGGTTCAAGCGATTCTCCTGCCTTAGCCTCCCCAGTAGCTGGGATCACAGGCATGTGCCACCACTCCCAGCTAATTTTGTATTTTTAGAAGAGTCAGGGTTTCTCCATGTTGGTCAGGCTGGTCTCAAACTCCCAACCTCAGGTGATCCACCTGCCTCAGCCATTCAAAGTGCTGGGATTATAGGCGTGAGCCACTGGGCCTGGCCGAGATTTCACCTTTTTAAAAAAAATTTTTATCTATTTATTTATTTATAGAGTTGAGGTTTCACTATGTTGGCCAGGCTGCTCTCGAACTCTTGACCTCATGATCCACCCACCTCGGCCTCCCAAAGTGCTGGGATTACAGGTGTCAGCACTGCGCCTGGCCCGAGATTTCACTTTTAAATGATCTTTCTGTCCTTTAAGCTGGAGCTAGGGGAACAAAAATCTTTCTGGGTGCTGTGTGGGTTAGGTGGGAAGCTCTAACCTTTCAGCTCTTGGGGGCCCCACTCCCCCAGTAGTGGCACCAGCCTTGCTTTCTCTTTGCTCAAGCCTCCATCAGGAAATCTTACTGCCTCTACTTTTGAAATACATCCTACATCCCACTTCTCACCTCTTTTCTTACCCTGCACCTTGATCTGTCCAAGTTCATCTCTCACCTGGGCTATGACAGCAACCTTTCCTCTGGGGCCCCCTTCCCCAACCCCCTCGTCTGCACCCCACATGCAGCTGGGACCCTGTGGACACCTTAGTCAGGTCCTGTCTGCTCAGACCCTTCACTAGTCCCCCTTTCACTCAGGGTAAAAGCCAAAGTCGGCCGGGTGTGGTGGCTCATGCCTTTAGTTCCAGCATTTTGGGAGGCTGAGGCGGGTGGATCACCAGAGGTCAGGAGGTCAAGACCAGCCTGTGTAACATGGTGAAACCCAGTCTCAGTAAAAAATACATGAATAAATAAATAAAATTTAAAAAGAAGAAAAAAAAAGCCCAAGTCTTACCATGCACCCCAAGGCTCTGCACAACCTGGCTGGCACCTCCATCCCTCCTCCCCACCTCATTCTGCTCTGGCCATGCCATCCCCACCAGGTGCATTCCATCGGGGCTCCAGCCATGCCGTCCCCACCAGACACTCCCCCTTCAGGACCTTGGCACTAGCTGTTGCCTCTGGCTGGGAGCACTCTTACTCTAGATATCCACATGGCCCACTCCCTTCCTTCCTTGTTTTTTTTTTTTTTCAGATGGAGTCTTGCCCAGGCTGGAGTGCAGTGGTGCGTGATCTCGGCTCACTGCAACCTCAGCCTCCCGGGTTCAAGCGATTCCCCGGCCTCAGCCTCCTGAGTAGCTGGGACTACAGGCGCGCACTGCCACGTCTGGCTGATTTTTGTATTTTTAGTAGAGACGGGGTTTCATCATGTTGGTCAGGCTGGTCTTGCACTCCTGACCTCATGATCTACCCGCCTCGGTCTCCCAAAGTGCTGGGATTACATGCGTGAGCCACCACTCCCAGCCTGCATCCCTTCCTTCCTTTTAGCATTTGCTCAAATGTCACCTTCTTAGTGAAGCTTCCTTGATCCCCTCCTTGCTAAAGCAGTACCCCACCCCCGCCCTAACCAACCCTGTTTTTCTGTACAGCAATTACCACCATCTGATTTACCCCTATAATTTCCTTATTTACTACATTGGTTGTCTAGGATATCAGCTTCACAGGGGCAGGAATTTTTGCCTGCCGTCCAGGTTCATGTCCACTGTGTCCCCCACTAGCTAGAACAGGGCCTAGCACAGGGGAAGGGGCTCAGCATGACATGAGTTGGGGGCTGGATCTTCAAGAGCTTTGACTACCAGACTGAGGAGCTGAACTGTGTTCTGAGGACATGGGCAGAGCTATGGAAGGAGAGAAAGATGCTTCCAGAGGCCAGGCATGGTAGCTTATGCCTGTAATCCCAGCACTTTGGGAGGCCAAGGCGGGCAGACCATGTGGTCAAGAGATTGAGACCATCCTGGCCAACATGGTGAAACCCTGTCTCTACTAAAAAAAAAATTAGCTGGGTATGGTGGTGCACACCTGTAGTCCCAGCTACTTGGGAGGCTGAGACAGGAGGATCGCTTGAACCTGGGAGGTGGAGGTTGCAGTGAGCCAAGATCACACCATTGCACTCCACTCTGGCGACAGAGCGAGACTCCGTCTCAAAAAAAAAAAAAAAAAAGGAAGAAAAGAAAGATGCTTTCAGATGCCAGGTGGAAGGTGGATTAGAGAAGGGCAAGAAGGGCTGGGCACGGTGGCTCACGCCTGTAATCCCAGCACTTTGGGAGGCCAAGGTGGGTGGATCACCTTAGGTCGGGAGTTTTAAACCAGCCTGACCAACATGGAGAAACCCCGTCTCTACTTAAAAAAAAAAAAAGAGAGAGAGAGAGAGAGAAAGGCAAGAAAGAAGGCAAGGCCCTGGGCCCGAAGAGAACAGGGCAGGGACTTGGGGAGGGAAGGCAGGAGGCGTCCCTGATGTGACCTGGGGACTGGAGGAGCAATGGGCTGCCCTAACATGGGGTCATGGAGGAGGCGACCACAGAGAGGAAAGTCAACAGAGGCCTGATGAGAAGGGCCTTGAATGATGAGAAGGTTGGTCTTTATACCAAGGGCACTGGGGAGCTATGGTAGGATCTTTGGGGGGGGAGGGGGAGGGTAACATCGATTTGGAAGGATCTGTTTGGGCCGGGAAGAAAGATCTGTTTGTCCCTTGTGTGAGGGTAGATGAGAGGGTGGGAGCCTAGAAAGGAGGCTGGGTTGGAAACCCTATGAGAGAAACCCAGAGAGGAAGGGACTGGCCCTGGGGTGCCCAGTGGGCATCGAGGAGGAGGGAATCAGGAGCAGGAGGCTGGTCCACACCCATCCCTTCTGTCCCCTCTCCCTCCTTTCCTACAGGCTGGCCCCGGCTCCATTTCCAGGTGTGGTCCCAGGACAGCTTTGGCCGCTGTCAGCTTGCAGGCTATGGATTTTGTCATGTGCCCAGCAGCCCAGGCACCCACCAGCTGGCCTGCCCCACATGGCGGCCCCTGGGCAGTTGGCGGGAGCAGCTGGCACGGGCTTTTGTGGGCGGGGGGCCGCAGCTGCTGCATGGGGACACCATCTACAGTGGTGCCGACCGCTATCGCCTGCACACAGCTGCTGGTGGCACCGTGCACCTGGAGATCAGCCTGCTGCTGCGCCACTTCGACCGCTACGGCGTTGAGTGCTGAGGGACCCTGCCTCCAAAGCCGCCACCACCACCTGCACCCCTGGATACCCCCCCCCCCCCGTGAGGGGCAGGATGGCCCAGGGGTCAAGAGCACGGACTCTGGAGACTGTCAGAGCTGACCCACCTAAGGCATGGCACTGCTTCTGTCCTGGTGAGGACTTTTGGCTCACTCTGGGCCGTTTCTGTATCTGTAAATTGGGGACAGTAAATGTGTAGGGTCGCAGGGTGTTGGGTCAAGAGGCTGCTTGGCACAAGGGAGGTGCTCAGTAAAGGAGAACAATTCTTACAGATGTCTGCCTCCTGACTCCTCCATTTCTCTGGTGTCCTGTTGTTCCTCCTCCCACTGACACCTTCCCCAGGCCCCCACCTTGACAGACCCTCTTCCCCAGCCTGTGCCCCAGCCTCACACTCTTCCCATTCTGGGTCGCCCTCCCCTGGTCGGCTCCCCTGTGTCTCATCCCCTGGATTAAACCTTCTGCGCTTGGTCCTCTTTCCCTGGTGACCCACACCGCCCCGCAAAGCCACAGCGCATCTGGATCACCCGCTTTGGTGGCGCTTGGCCGCCAGGAGGCAGCACCCTGTTTGTGAGGCGGAGCCGGGGTGCCCGCCCCCTTTCCCCCCCAGGGCTGAAGGGACCCCCCTCGGAGCCCGCCCACGCGAGATGAGGACGGTGGCCCAGCCCCCCCATGCCCTCCCCCTGGGAGCCGCCCCCGCTCCCGCCCCGTGAGCTTCCTGGGTGGGGCCACGCGGCTTCAAAACCCCCCGCCGACCCAGCGGGTCCCCGCCGCCGCCGCCGCCCTTCGCGTCCTGGGCCATCTCCCTCCCGCCTCCCTCCGCGGATCAGCCAGACAGCGAGGGCCCCGGCCGGGGGCAGGGGGGACGCCCCGTCCGGGGCACCCCCCGGCTCTGAGCTGCCCGCTGGGCCAGCCTCGGCCCGGAGCGGAGGAAGGAGTCGCCGAGGAGCAGCCCGAGGCCCCAGAGTCTGAGACCAGCCGCCGCCACAGCCGCCCCCGCCACTGCGGGGAGGAGGGGGAGGAGGAGCGGGAGGAGGGACGAGCTGGTCGGGAGAAGAGGAAAAAAACTTTTGAGACTTTTCCGTTGCCGCTGGGAGCCGGAGGCGCGGGGACCTCTTGGCGCGACGCTACCCCGTGAGGAGGCAGGACTTGGGGACCCCAGACCGCCTCCCCTCACCGCCGGGGACGCTTGCTCCCTCCCTGCCCCCTACACGGCGTCCCTCAGGCGCCCCCATTCCGGACCAGCCCTCGGGAGTCGCCGACCCGGCCTCCCGCAAAGACTTTTCCCCAGACCTCGGGCGCACCCCGCTGCACACCGCGTTCATCTCCGGCCTGTCTCCCGAGTCCCCGCGCATCCTAGACCCTTTCTCCTCCAGGAGACGGATCTCTCTCCGACCTGCCACAGATCCCCTATTCAAGACCACCCACTTTCTGGTACCAGATCTTGCTCATCTAGGTTATTTCCGTAGGATACTGAGACACCCCGGTCAGAGCTTCCCCTCCACAACTGCGTCCTGAGGACCTCAACTTTCCCTCGAGGCCCTCCTGCCTTTTCCCAGGAGACCCCCAGCCCCTGCGGGGGCCCCACCGCGTTAGCCCTGTTCGCACTCTCGACAGTGCCGGGGGGCGCCGCCTCCCCCATGCCGCCCTCCGGGCTGCGGCTGCTGCCGCTGCTGCTGCCGCTGCTGTGGCTACTGGTGCTGACGCTCGGCCGGCCGGCCGCGGGACTATCCACCTGCAAGACCATCGACATGGAGCTGGTGAAGCGGAAGCGCATCGAGGCCATCCGCGGCCAGATCCTGTCCAAGCTGCGGCTCGCCAGCCCCCCGAACCAGGCGGAGGTGCCGCCGGGCCCGCTGCCCGAGGCCGTGCTCGCCCTGTACAACAGCACCCGCGACCGGGTGGCCGGCGAGAGCGCCGAGCCGGAGCCCGAGCCAGAGGCCGACTACTACGCCAAGGAGGTCACCCGCGTGCTCATGGTGGAAACCCACCACGGTGAGCTCGGAGGGGCAGGGGAGTCGGGAGGGGGGCCCCCAGGGGGCGCCGGAGTGCCGGGGCCACGGGGAGGAAGTGACTGGCAGAGGAAAACTGGCTGGAGGAACAGGACCCCCGGGGCTCAGGGAACATGTGATGGTGGGAGGGGGTGTCGAAAGAGGATGGCACTGAGCCCCTTACCCGTCAGGTGCCTGGTCTTGGAGAGGAGGAGATAGCGAAGTGGACCGCTTCTGGAGGGCGACAGGAACATGCGGGGTCGCGGGGGGGAGTCCCCTAGAGGGAGAGAAGTAATAGGGAGAGGGTAGAAGCCTCCCTCTTCCAGGACGTGTAGCATGAGGGGGTCGTGGGGTGGGAGCTGCAGAGACAGGGGAGCCTGGTATGGGTGAAGCGAAAACGCCAGTATTTAGGAAAAGAGAGGCACTGGGGAAAGTCGACCTGGAGCGCAGGGGTCCTGAGGTGGAAAGATTCAAGAAGGACAGAAAAGCTAGAGGAAGGCCACCCCAGGGGGTGCCAGGAAAGTGGCAGCGGACGCCCTTCCAGAGGCTGCGAAGAACACGCGGGATGCGGGGCGGGGGGAGAGTCGTAGAAAAAGAAACAGAGGTTGGTGTGATAAATGTGGGGAGAAAGGAAGACGAGGTTATTGGGAGGAGGAGGCTAGCGGGAGAGGAGCGGAGAGCCGGGAGGGCGCCCGGGATGCGGAGGTGTCCTCGGCGTTTCCCACTGGGACTTGAGGGACAAAGCGGGGAGCCCAGCGGAGGAATCGAGCTCTCAGGAGACCTAGAATTCTGGGTCATGGGAAGGGCTTTACCGAGAGGGGAGACAAGCGTGGGAAAAATGGTGTGAGCGGGGCGGAGGAGAGAATACCCAGAGCCATCTACGCTGCGAACAGCGAGCCCCCAACTCGCCGCAGGATGGAGGGGAATGGGCTGAGTAGAGCCCAGCCGCTGGGGAAGTGCTGGGTTGGGGGTGAGTCTACAATTCCACGGTGAGAAAATCAAGCTGGGAGGGGTGAGAAAGCCCCACGTGGGTGCCACGCGCGGGGGGAGGAGCCTGCTCTTCCACCGAAAGGCGAGAGGACCCCGCTGTGCTGAACGCTGGCAGTCTGGAGCCAGAGTCAGTTCCTCTCGGGGTGGCTGGGGAAACCCCAGCGTCCGGCCGCCTCACCCTCCTCCCTTCCCTTTCCTTCCCGTGCCCCCGGTGGGGGCGGGGATTGCGCGCGGAGCCCGGGGCGAGATGGGGCAGGTCTGGTCCCCGCCCTCCTGGCTGTGGCGCCTCCTGCCCTCCTCACCCCAGCTACGGGCGGGGCTCCCGCTGAGACGGCCGGGTCGGCACCCACGCGAGGACCCGGGCGTCCCGCATTGTTCAGAGCCTTGGGGAAGTTCCCTCAGCTTTCACTGACTCTTGGGCGGTAGGGGTTTGGGGGTCCCCAGCCCATTCCTGCGCCAATTTACTGCTCCAGCCCAGTGACGCCCACTCCGCACCCACGTCTTAGTCTCGCCTTCTCTTCGCTTCACCTTCGTTGTAGAGGTTCCTTTAACACTGACCCCTCCAATCTTGCTCTCCCCCACAAATGCCTCTGTGTCTCTGCTCCCCACTTGTCTCCCCATTTCGTCTCCGTTAGTCTCTCTGTCCACAGCTGGGTCTTCTGGTTTTTGTCTTCTTTTCTCTCCCTATTTTTCTCCACGGTCCTCTCCCCTCTCCTCTGTCACTGCCATCTCCCCACCGCTCCCTCTCTGCAGCACCCTCCAACCCTTGCTCTTCCTTCTCTCTCTCTCCTTCCCTATCTGTCTTCCCCAGCCAAGGCTCTGCCTTTCCTTTAGGGTTTGCTGAGTAACCACTGGGCCAAGAATAGGGCTTATTGGGGCTGGGTGGGGAGGGAGACTGGGGGGGAGGAGGAGGAGGAGGGAAGGGGGCCTAGGAAGGGGTTTCCTCTGCCTTTCTCACCAGGCTCTTCTCACTATTTTCACAGCCCCACTATAGGAGGCTGGCAGCAGTTGCCCCAGTTGATCCAGGGGTTCATGGCTTGTTCCCTCAATCCCAACCCCAAACTTTTCCTAAACTAGAAAACGCCTTGGCTGGGTGCAGCGGCTCACGCCTGTAATCCCAGCACTTTGAGAGGCCAAGGCCAGTGTATCAGCTGAGGTCAGGAGTTTGAGACCAGCCTGACCAACTTGGTGAAACCCATCTCTACTAAAAATGCAAAAATTAGCTGGGCAGAGTGGCAGGCGCCTGTAATCCCAGCTACTCAGGAGACTGAGGCAGGAGAATAGCTTGAATCGGGAGGTGGAGGTTGCAGTGAGCTGAGATCACACCACTGCACTCCAGCCTGGGCCACAGAGTGATACTCCGTCTCAAAAAAAAAAAAAAAAAAAAAAAAAAAAAGAAGAAGAAGAAGAAGAAAACACCCTAATTCCTTTTCTCCCCACTGCAGCCATTTCTACCCAGAATGAACTTCACTTTCCCTAACCAGCTGGGGAAGGGAGTTAAGGAAAACTCATAATAAAAAGAAGTAGAAGAATCACATAGGGGTTAAGAGCCCAGTCTCTAGCCTCTCAACATATTGGGAGGCTGAGGCAGGAGGAATTCCAGCCTGCAGTGAGCCATGGTTGTGCTACTGTACTTCAGCCTGGGGGACAGACTGAGACCCTGTCTCTGGCGGGGGGAAAGGGCACAGCCTCTGGAACCAGAAAGCTTGAGTTCGAATCCTAGTCTGCAGCTTCCTAGCTATGTGGCCTTGGGGCAAATTACTTAATCTCTGTGCCTCAGTTTCTCCATCTATTAAATGGGCATAATAATAGTATAAGATTGTGAGGTTTAAATATCTTCATCTTTGTAAAGTGCTTTAAATAGCATCTGGCAAATAGGGCTTTTTGTTTTTATTTATTTATGTATTTTTTAAAGATGAGGTTTCTCCATGTTGGTCAGGCTGGTCTCAAACTCCCGACCTCAGGTAATCCACCTGCCTCAGCCTCCCAAACTGCTGGGATTACAGGCATGAGCCACCAGGCCCGGCTATTTTTTTTTTTTTTTTTTTTTTTTTTGAGACAGAGTCTTACTCTTGGCCATACTATAACCTCTGCCTCTCGGGTTCAAGCGATTCTCCGGCCTCAGCCTCCTGAGTAGCTGGGATTATAGGTACCCAGCCTCGCTATTTTTTTTTTTTTTTAATTGAGATGGAGTCTCACTCTGTCCCCGAGGTTGGAGTGCAGTGGCACAATCTTGGGTCACTGTAACCTCCGTCTCCCAGGTTCAAGTGATTCTCGTGCCTCAGCCACCCGAGTAGCTGGGATTACAGGCGCCCACCACCATGCCTGGCCAATTTTTGTATTTTTAGTAGCAACGGAGTTTCACCATGTTGGTCAGGCTGGTCTTGAACTCAGCTTGGCCAACTTCAAGTAATCCACCTGCCTCAGCCTCCCAAAGTGCTGGGATTACAGTTGCAAGCCCCCGCACCTGGCCAATGCTCTTAAACAAACACGTGATTGAGTGACCAGTGATTGAGTGTATGCAGTGTATGCAGACCTGGTGCCACATGGCTTCACCTGGGTCATCTAATTTCCCCCTATAATCCAGGAATGGGTTCTAGAGTCACTCTGTCCTGTCTTACAGATGAGCACCTGGTTCAGAGAGAGGAATTCACTTGCCCAAGGTTACACAGCGCTTCAATTAGGAGAGTCTGGGTGGGAATGCAGGGAGCTTAATGTTATTGCTGTTTTTCAAAGAGTAACAGGGAACTGACATTCAGAAAGAGGGTGTGAACTGCCCAAGGTCACACAGCTGAGAGGCGGCCGAGGTGCTATCTGACTCCAAAGCCAGTGCCCTTGATCTTTACTCTGCATTTTAGGGGTGCTTGCAGTTTGGGGCTCTCAGTCCCAGGAAGGCCTGAGCAAACAGAGTGGTTCACCTTGGTATCAGCCTTAGTTGAGACAGATGATGCTACTTGAGAGAGGAGTGTGGTTAGGACCCATTTTACAGAGTAGGAAACAAACCTGGGGGAGAAATTGCTCCCCCAAGGTCACACAGCTAAAAAGTATCAGAGTCATTTGGGCGTCGTGGCTCACACCTGTAATCCCAGCACTTTGGGAGGCTGAGGCAGGCAGATCACTTGAGGTCAGGAGTTCAAGACCAGCCTGGCCAACATGGTGAAACCCCGTCTCTACTACAAATACAAAAATTAGCTGGGCCGTGGTGGCAGGTGCCTGTAATTCCCGCTACTCAGGAGGCTGAGGCAGGAGAATCTCTTGAACCTGGGAGGCAGAGGTTGCAGTGAGCCCAGATCGTGCCATTGCACTCCAGCCTGAGCAACAAAAGCTCAGCTTTTTTAAGACAAAGTATACAGATCCAGAATTTGAGCACTTCTCACCATTTCCTCTGCCCATCCCCCTTCATCTCTTACCTAGACCATTACAGTAGCCTCTTCTACTGGTCCCCTGTATCTGCCCTTGCCCTCTAAGGCAAGGGTCCCCAATCCCCAGGCTGAGGACCAGTGCCAGCCTGTGTCCTGTTAGGAATTGGGCCACACAGCAAGAGGTGGGCGGTGGGCAAGTGAGCATCACTGCCTGAGCTTTACCTCCGGTTAGATCCTCAGTGGCATTAGATTCCCAAAGGAGGCAAACCCTATGAGACTGACCACCCCAGAGCTGTCAGCTCCAAAACTCCTAGACTTGGGACCACCAGCTCCCCTCACCTCTGCCAAACCCCTGATCGCCTCTCTGCATTTCTCCCTGCTAGAAATCTATGACAAGTTCAAGCACAGCACACACAGCATATATATGTTCTTCAACACATCAGAGCTCCGAGAAGCAGTACCTGAACCCGTGTTGCTCTCCCGGGCAGAGCTGCGTCTGCTGAGGCTCAAGTTAAAAGCGGAGCAGCACGTGGAGCTGTACCAGGTGAGGATGTGAGCCCGAGGGAAGGTCTCCTGCTGGAGAGCGTGAGCTGTGACCAGCAGGGCAGCTGTGAGGCTGCTGACTACAAGGTCTGCCTAGATAGTCCCTGAAGGATAGAGGAAATACAAACCGTGCAATCCTAGGACTCTCTTTATTTCTTCATTTCTTTCTCTTTTGAGACGGAGCCTTGGTCTGTTAGGCAGGTTGTAGTGCAGTGGCACGATCTTGGGTCACTGCAACCTCCGCCTCCCAGGTTCAAGTGATTCTCCTGTCTCAGCCACTTGAGTAGCTGTGATTACAGGAATATACCACCACGCTGAGCTAATTTTTGTATTTTTAGTAGCAACAGAGTGTGTGTGTGTGTGTGTGTGTGTGTGTGTGTATGTGTGTGAGATAAAGTCTTGCTCTGTCACCAGACTGGAGCGCAGTGGCACGATCTTGGCTCACTGCAACCTCTGCCTCCTGTATTCAAGTGATTCCCCTGCCTCAGCTTCCCAAGCAGCTGGGACTAGAGGCGTGCACAGCACGCCCAGCTAATTTTTTGTATTTTAGTAGAGATGGGGTTTCACCATGTTGGCCAGGCTGGTCTCGATCTCCTGACCTCATGATTCACCTGCCTCGGCCTCCCCAAGTACTGGGATTACAGGCATGAGCCACCATGACTGGCTGACTCTTGGGTTTATAGAACATTAGTCTTCTAAAGCTTCTCAGGCTCATTCAACATGGAAATCTTGGGATATTATCAAACATTTGAATTACAAAATGACTTCTAAATTACTGACTTAGAATTCAGGGTGTCACTGGGCACGGTGGCTCATGCCTGTAATCCTAGCACTTTGGGAGGCTGAGGTGGGTGGATCACCTGAAGTCAGGAGTTCAAGACCAGCCTGGCCATCATGGTGAAACCCCATCTTTAAAAAAAATAATAAAAAAAATTCAGGGTGTCAAATTTGCAGAGCCGTATGCTCAGCAAACCCCAGAATGTTAGCAGCAGAATTTTATTTTATTTATTATTATTTTAAGAGGAAGTGTCGCTCTGTTACCCATGCTGGAATGCAGTGGTGTGATCTTGGCTCACTGCAACCTCTGTCTTCCAGGCTCAAGCAATTCTCCTGCCTCAGCTTTCCAAATAGTGAGGACGTGCACCACCATACCCAACTAGTTTTTGTATTTTTAGTAGAGACGGGTTTTCACCATGTTGGCCAGGCTGGTCTCGAACTCCTGACCTCATAATCAGCTCGCCTCGACCTCCCAAAATGCTGAGATTACAGGTGTGAGCCACCGCGCCTGGCCCTCCATCTCAACTCTCACGGGTGCTGTGGGGGAGGATGGGTGCTGCAGGGTCGTACAGTGTGGATGTCTGAGAGGGTAGGTGGTGCCTGGGAACTCTCTGGGAGCCAGTTTGGGGGAGCAGATGGGATGAAGGGTTCAGTTAGTATATGTGGGGGCGTGGCAGCATCTACCACTGTCTCTCTCCCACCTTCATCATCCTCTAGAAATACAGCAACAATTCCTGGCGATACCTCAGCAACCGGCTACTGGCTCCCAGCGACTCGACGGAGTGGTTGTCTTTTGATGTCACTGGAGTTGTGCGACAGTGGCTGACCCACGGAGGTGAGGCTCGCTCATGTGTCCCACCTGTTTCTCAATGGGGTCCACGCCATTGTTTGTCCTGGGGTCACTTTGCCTAGGACCCCTGTCCGTCCTGGTGTGAAGGGGCTGAGACCTGGCTCCCCTCTGTGGCGTGGAAACCTGAGTGACTGGCTACTCCATTTCCTGAGCATCTCTCTGCCCTGCCCTGTGATGGGCAATGCCAAGGACACAGCAATGACTAAAACAGCCCCATCGTTGCCCTCACAGAGCTCATGGTCCATTTGGTGGGTAGGTGGGGAATAGACTTGTAAGGCAGTGATGACCCAGAGTGGGTGGGGCTGGGATGGAGAGCCCAAAGGAGGTGCCTGACCCAGCCTGCAATCAGGGAGAGCTTCCTGGAGGAGGGGCTCCTGAGCTGATGTTATAGAAATGAGTAGAATGGTCAGGAAAAGGAGGGTTGTGAGAGTATTCTGGGGCTGGGCATGGTGGTTCACACCTGTAATCCCAGCACTTTGGAAGGCCAAGGAGGATGGATCGCTGGAGATCAGAAGTTTGAGAGCAGCCTGGGCAACGTGGCAAAACCCGGTCTCTACAAAAATACAAAAATTAACCATGCCTGCTGGTGTGCACCTGTAGTCCCGGCTGCTTGGGAGACTGAGGTAGAGAATCACTGGAGCCTGGGAGGTCGAGGCTGCAGTGAGCCATAATCGCATTACTGCAGTCCAGCCTACGTAGCAGAGTGAGAGCCCATCTCAAAAAAAAAAAAAAAAAAAAAAAGTATTCCAGGCAAAGGGAACAGCCTGTGCAAAGGCCCAGAGGCCAGGGAGGGCCTAACTCATGTGATCTGTCCAGGAGATGACTGTCTCTGTCCTGTTCCTGGCAGGGTCCATGATGCCCACATCTCTCTCCCTCACCTCCCTCTCAGTTATGCTTTTATTCAATAATTACCCACAGGTTCCTGCAGTGTGCCTGGCCCTGTGCTGGGTGGCATGGGGAACACAGTGGCAACCAAGACAGCCCTCAGTTCTGCTCTCATGGGGTCCATAGTCACTTCTGGACATCTAAGAGATCTTGTCAAGGCCCCACCAGGCAGTAATGACCTAGAATGATCAAAGGTGAGACAGGGAGGCATGGATAGAGAGGCCAAGGCTGGGACAGGGAGGCATCTGGGAAGGGGACACCCTAAGCACTGTTGGGAGCTCAGAAAAGGCACCTGGACCCACCCGGGGAGTCTAGGAGGGCTTACTGGGTGAAGGTGATTATGTGGAGACTCACAGGATAAGTAGTAGTTTGGCCACATGAAAAAGTAGGGATGGCCGGGCTTAGTGGGTCACGCCCGTAATCCCTGCACTTTGCGGGGGCCAAGGTGGGCGGATCGCCTGAAGTCAGGAGTTCGAGACCAGCGTGACCAACATGGTGAAACCCTGTCTCTACTAAACATACAAAATTAGCCAGCGTGGTGGCGCACGCCTGTAATCCTAGCTACTTGGGAGGCCGAGGCAGAATTGCTTCAACCTGGGAGGCAGAGGTTGCAGTGAGCTAAGATTGCACCATTGCACTCCAGCCTGGGCAACAAGAGCGAAACTCTGCCTGAAAAAATAAAATAAAAAATAGGGATTAGGGAGCAGGAAGGCACCGGGAGGAGTGTTCTGGGCTGTTCCACAGAGGCCTAGAAGGAGCTCATCTGTCTTGGTCAATGCTGAGTCCCAAGCACACAGCATAGGCTCTGGCACTTTGTAGGACCTTAGAAAGCATCATCCACTCATTCATTCAGGAGACTGATGCTGGCCAGGTGTGCTGGCTCACCCCTGTAATCCCAGCGCTTTGGGAGGCCAAGGTGGGAGGATTGTTTGAGCCCAGCCTGAGCAACATCGTGAGACCCCTGTCTCTATAGAAAATTTAAAAATTAGTTGTGTAAGTCGGGTGCGGTGGCTAACGCCTATAATCCCAGCACTTTGGGAGGCTGAGGCTAGCAGATCACCTGAGGTCAGGAGTTGCAGACCAGTCTGGCTAACATGATGAAACCTCATCTCTACTAAAAATACAAAAAATTAGCTAGGCATGGTGTCACGTGCCTGTAATCCCAGTTACTTGGGAGACTGAGGCAGGAGAATTGCTTGAACCTGGGAGGCAGAGGTTGTAGTGAGCCAAGATCATGCTACTGCACTCCGGCCTGGGCAACAGAGCCAGACTCTGTCTCAAAAAAAAAAAAAAATTAGTCTTGCATGGTGGCACATGCCTGGCTACTTGGGAGGCTGAGGTGGGAGGATTGCTTGGGCCTGGGAGGTTGAGGCTGCGAGACCTTGTCTCAAATAAATAAATAAATAAATGAAGCAAGAGAGCTGCAGAGAGGGCAGAGCGGGGTGGGCAGGGGAGGCAGGAAGGAACCCCCTGGGGTTTGCTCCTTCCTTCCTCTTCTTCCAGGGGCTGGGTGAGCTACACCCACAGACTGGCTTCCCTCTCCCCACTGCTACAGGGGAAATTGAAGGCTTTCGCCTTAGCGCCCACTGCTCCTGTGACAGCCAAGTTAACACACTGCAAGTGGACATCAACGGTAAGACCCGCTTCCCTGGCCATGCCCAGCTGTGATTTGTGTGCGTGTGTGTGTCCTCATCTGCCCCGTGCCTCACTTGTCTGTCCCTCTGAGAGTGTCTGTATATGTCCCCTATCCTCTGACTCCCACACCAAAGCAGGGTTCTCTACTGGCCGCCGAGGTGATCTGGCCACCATTCATGGCATGAACCGGCCTTTCCTGCTCCTCATGGCCACCCCGCTGGAGAGAGCCCAGCATCTGCAAAGCTCCCGGCACCGCAGAGCCCTGGACACCAACTACTGCTTCAGGTGAACCTTGCAGCCTTCTAGGCTGGGGGCATGACTGCCATCTGCTGACCAGGTGTTCCAGGTTGGACACCTGGCTGATGCTGTGCTTGGGCTGAGCATCTGTCTCCTAAAGGGAGGGCTAAAGCTGAAGCTTGAAGGGCTTAGGGGATGGGGTCTAGGGTGTAAGAACTGGGAGTCTTGTGCTGGGCTTTGAGAGGCTGTAATCCCAGCACTTTGGGAGGCCGAGACAGGCGGATCACCTGAGGTGGGGAGTTTTGAGACCAGCCTGGACAACATGGTGAAACCCCGTCTCTACTAAAAATACAGAAATTAGCCAGGCATGAGGGTGGGCACTTGTAATCCCAGTTACTTGGGAGGCTGAGGCAGGAGAATCACTTGAATCTGGGAGGCAGAGGTTGCAGTGAGCCAAGATCGCGCCACCAAATTCCAGCCTGTGCGACAGAGTGAGACTGTCTCAAAAAACAAAAAACAAACAAATAAGTGGGAGTCTTGTAATGTTGGGATCAGGCTGCTTTCTTGCTGGAGCGTTGGAATCACAGAATGTTAGGAAGCTGAACCCTGAGAATGTTGGAATAAAGTTGGAAGGTCACCATCCTGGATCCCTAACTTGTTAGCAGGTTGAGGGTCTAGAATGCTGGGATTCTAGAGTGCTAAAATTTGGTGTTAATTACTGAAATGGTGAAGGTTGGACTGAAGGAAAGATGAAACATTGGGATCCTAGAATTTGGGAACGCACAATGAGAAGATGGCCCATGTGGAATTCCTACACCATTGGCCTAATGCAGATACCAGTGTTGGCAGACTGGAATCTTCGAATATTGGGCTCACAATGGTAGAATTCTGTTTTGAAATATTCACACCCACAAATGTAGGAGTTGGAGAAAGCCAGAATATTGGTATTCCAGCATGCTGTGACTCAGTGCTGGCATGTTAGAATCTTAGAATGCTGGGAATTTATGAATAGAAAGTGGCAGCAGGCCGGGCATGGTGGCTCATGCCTGTAATCCCAGCACTTTGGGAGGCCAAGGTGGGCGGATCACCTGAGGTCAGGAGTTCAAGACCAGCCTGGCCAACATGGTGAAATCCCATCTCTATTAAAATACAGAAATTAGCCGGGCATGGTGGTGGGCACCTGTAATCTTAGCTACTCAGCTGGAACTACAGCTACCCAGGTACTCAGGCTAAGGTAGGAGAATTGCTTGAACCTGGGAGGCAGAGGTTTCAGTGAGCTGAGATTGCACCATCTCAAAAAAAAAAAAAAGAAAGAAAAATGTTAGCTTGAACCTCTTGAGTGATGGGCTCGGAACTGCAGAATGTCGGGATGCAGTACTGGCAGACTGGAATTCAGGAATGCCAAGATCCTCAAAGGTTGGAAAGTAGGAATCCTGGAAAGTTGAAAATGCTGTCAGCATGTCAGAATCGTAGGATGCTGGAATACTAATCCTGCAATCTAAGGAAGCTGAAATGGTGGATTCCTAGAAAGTTGAAATGGAGAGTTAGAATGTTGTAAAATTAAAGTGATCATCTGACCTCATTCCTCCCCTGCTTAAAATACTTTGGTGGTGTCTTGGGCTTTGTGACCTGCTTTTCCTCTGCCAGAAAATCAGCCCTGCTCCCAGACTCCTTCACCATCAGATTTTAGCGCCACCAGCCCAGCAACCCTGTGAAGGAACAAACTGAGGTCTTGAGTGCCAACAGCAGCTGACATTAGAAAGGAGACAGCCAGTCATGTGAGCTTCCGTAGGGATGGACCCAACGTTACCTAGGAAGTCCTGCCAAAAAATGAAACCTGAAGGCCCCGTGCGGTGGCTCATACCTGTAATCCCAGCACTTTGGGAGGCCAAGGCAGGCAGATCGCTTGAGCTCAGGAGTTCCAGGAGTTCCAAACCAGCCTGTGCAACATGGTAAAGCCCTGTCTCTCCACAAAAAATACTAAAAAACTAGCTGGCCTGGGTTGTGTGTGCCTGTAGTCCCAGCTACCTTTGGGAGGCTGAGGCAGGAGTGCATGAGCCCAGGAGGTTGTGGCTGCAGTGAGCTGGGATCACGCCATTGCACTTCAGGACACAGCGAGACCCTGTCTATGAAAAAAAAAAAAGTCAAACCCAATCAGAACTGTAGATCCCAACCAACAGTTTTCTAGAAAGACAGGAACAGAGGAAATGTTAAGCAACAGGGTTTCACCAGCCTCAGCCTCCCAAAATGCTGGGATTACAGGCATGAGCCACTGCTCCCGGCCTATATCCTGTATTTTTGGTGGGTTTTTTTTTTTTTTTTTTTTTTTTTGGAGAAGGATTTTCAGTCTTGTCACCCAGTCTGGAGGGCAATGGCGAAATCTCGGCTCACTGCAGCCTCTGCCTCCCGTGTTCAAGCGATTCTCCCGCCTCAGCCTCCTAAGTAGCTGGGATTACAGGCACACGCCACCACACCTGGCTAATTTTTGTATTTTTAGTAGAGATGGGGTTTCACCGTGTTGGCCAGGCTGATCCTGAACTCCTGACCTCAAGTTATCTGATTGCCTCAGCCTCCCAAAGTGCTGGAATTACAGGCGTGAGCCACCACTCCTGGCCTATATCCTGTATTTAAAAAATAAGATAGAGAAAAGAAAACGTACTTAAGACAATCATAAGGAAGAAGAATTATATTTTCCACCCATTGAACAGAAGTGGCTTATCACAAAGGTCTTCACGTTGAGTAGGCTAAGGAGGAGAAGGAAGAAGAAGGGTTGGTCTTGCTGTCTCAGGGGTGAGAGAGGCAGAAGAAAAAGTTGCCCTGGTGTATTTTGTAAGAGGACCACGTAGTTCATGCTCATGTTGTTCAAGGGTCAGTCTATATATAGTTAACCCTGAATATATATACAAAGAGAGGGAGGTGATTCTGTGGATTCTGAAAAAGTCCTAAGAGAGGCCAGGCATGGTGGCCCACGCCCATAATCCCAGCACTTTAGGAGGCTGAGGCGGGTGGTGGATCACTTGAGGTCAGGAGTTCAAGACCAGGCTGGCCAACATGATTAAACCCTCTCTGTACTAAAAATACAAAAATGCGGCTGGGCACGGTGGCTCATGCCTGTAATCCCAGGACTCTGGGAGGCTGAGGTGTGTGGATCACCTGAGGTCAGGAGTTTGGGACAACACAGTGAAACCCTGCCTCTACTAAAATTACAAAAATTACCTGGGCGTGGTGGCGCGTGCCTGTAGTCCCCACTGTTTGGCAGGCTACAGCAGGAAAGTCGCTTGACCCGGGGAGGTTGCAGTGAGCCAAGACTGCACCACTGCACTCCAGCCTCGATGACAGAGCGAGACCTTATCTCAAAAAAAAAAAAAAAAGAGAGAGAGAGAGATAATACAGTGTGAGTGGACGGGGTAGAGATGCAATGGAAATTGGCTGTGAGTTGATCATTGTTTAAGCTGCTTTTGTGTAGTCTGAAACCTTCCAGCTGGGTGGAGTGGCTCATGCCTGTAATCCCAGCACTTTCGAAGGCCGAGGCAGGTGGATCACCTGAGGTCAGGAGTTCGAGACCAGCCTGGCCAACATGGTGAAACCCCATCTCCAAAAACATTTAGTTGGGTGTGGTGGTGCGCACCTGTAATCCCAGGTACTCAGGATGCTGAGCCAGAAGAATGGCTTGAACTTGGGAGGTGGTGGTTGCTGTGAGCCAAGGTTGCACCACTGTACTCCACCTGGGTGACAGAGCAAGACCCCATCTCAAAAAAGTCTATATATATACCTGATTGAACCTTAGAAAGACTGGAAAAAAAACTTTCATAGGAAAATGTGTTCTCAAAGCAGCTTGCACACAACCTTCTCCCTAACCCCGTTCTCCAATATCCAAGGTGGATATGAGGCCTCTCGGGCTCCCCTGGGGCCCAAGTAGATCTTTGATTCAACAAACAGTCTCTGTTGGCTGTTTTTTTTTTTTTTTTTTTTTTTTTTGAGATGGAGTCTGGCTCTGTTGCCCAGGCTGGAGTGAGTGCAATGGCGAGATCTTCGTTCACTGCGACCTCTGTCTCCAGGGCTCAAGTGATTCTCTTGCCTCAGCCTCCCGAGTAGCTGGGATTACAGGTGTGCACCACCACGCCCAGGTAATTTTTGTATTTTTAGTAGAGACAGGGTTTCACTGTGTTGGCCAGGATGGTCTTGATCTCCTAACCTTATCCACCCGCCTCTGCCTCCCAAAGTGCTGGGATCACGGGCGTGAGCCACCATGCCCGGCAATTTTTTGTAGAGGCAGGGTCTTATTATGCTCCCCAGGTTGGTCTCAAATTTCTTGGGCTCAAGCGATTCACCCGTCTTGGCCTCCCAAAGTTCTGTGATTACAGGTGTGAGCCACTACACCCGGCCGAGGTCTTGAGAGACTGGACGGAAAAGGCTTTGCGAAGGCAAGGGCCCTGGGTATCCCAGGGCCCAGAGCGTGGTAGGCCCTGAATGTATCCTGAAAAAATGAGTCAGAGGATCACCTAGAGGGCTTGTTCAGCATGGACAGTTGTTCCCAGCCCCACACAGTTTCTTCTTTCAGTGGCCTGGGGTGCTGCCTGAGACTCTGCATTTCCCACAGTCCCCAGGTGATGCTGCCACTGGTCCTGTGAGCTCACTGGAGAGCTGCTGACTTGGATAACAGTATCACAGCTAGGCCAGGTGGCCTGTAATCCCAGCACTTTGGGAGGCTGAGGTGGGCAGATCACAAAGTCAGGAGATCTAGACCATTCTGGCTAACACGGTGAAACCCCATCTCTACTAAAAATACAAAAAATTAGCCAGGCGTGGTGGCACACGCCTGTAGTCCCAGCTATTCGAGAGGCTGAAGCAGGAGAATCACTTGAACCCAGGAGGAGGAGGTTGTGGTGAGCCAAGATCATGCCACTGTACTTCAGCCTGGGCAACAAGAGTGAAACACCATCTCAAAAAAAAAAAAAAAAGTGGGGCCGGGCACAGTGGCTCACACCTGTAATCCCAGCACTTTGGGAGGCCGAGGTGGGTAGATCACAAGGTCAAGAGATCGAGACCATCCTGGTCAACATGGTGAAACCCCGTCTCTACTAAAAATGCAAAAAATTAGCTGGGCATGGTGGCACACGCTGTAATCCCAGCTACTCAGGAGGCTGAGGCAGGAGAATTGCCTGAACCCAGGAGGCAGAGGTTGCGGTGAGCCAAGATCGCGCCATTGCACTCCAGCCTGGGTAACAAGAGCGAAACTCCGTCTCAAAAAAAAAAAAGTATCACAGACGTTCAAATCCGAGGACCTCAGAGTCCCAGCTAGGATTGAACTGGAAATTAAAGATGATTCTGGGCTGGGCACGGTAGCTCACGCCTGTAACCCCTGCACTTTGGGAGGTCAAGGCAGGCAGATCACCTGAGGTTGGGAGTTCGAGACCACCCTGACCAACATGGAAAAACCTTGTCTCTACTAAAAAAAAACACAATTAGCCAGGTGTGGTGGCGCATGCCTGTAATTCCAGCTAATCGGGAGGCTGAGGCAGGAGAATTGCTTGAACCCGGGAGGGTGGAGGTTGCGGTGAGCTGAGATCATGCCATTACACTCCAGCCTGGGCAACAAGAGTGAAACTCCATCTCAAAAAACAAAACAAAACAAAAAGATGATATTATTCTGGACACTAGTTCTTCCCCTTTTGTGTGTTTAGGACTTCCTGTGAGAAAGTGAAAGCCAGAAACCTTTTCCCCAGAAATGTAAGCACATACACATACACACACATGTGCATATGATCTCAGGTGTTCAGAGCCCTCCCCAAGCCTATCCATGATGCCCCCTTGGCCCTCAGGTTAATGCCTTATTTGATCTGGTAGCTCCTACCTCTGAACAGATGAGGAAACTGAGGTGCAACCAAATTGGGTGGGACCAGGCTGAGCTCACAGGGATCCGTTTCCTGACTCCCTTCTCAGGCTTCCGTGGCTCTTGGAAAGGCTTTGTCTTGCCTCCAGGGTATCTGGTGCCACTTGAAGCTGGGTTCAAGCAATTCTCTTGCCTCGGCCTCCCGAGAAGCTGGGACTACAGGCGCGTGCCACCACGCCCAGCTAATTTTTGAATTTTTAGTATCGACAGGGTCCTCAAGTTTGCCTGCCTCAACCTCCCAAAGTGCTGGGATGACAGGCGTGAACCCCTGCGCCCCGCTGGCCCCACCAATCTATGAGCCGGGGCTGCAGTGAGCCGAGACGGTACCACTGCACTCCAGCCTGGGTGACAGAGTGAGGCTCTGTCTCAAAAAAAAAAAGAAAAAAAGTCACCCTCAACTTTTTCTTTTTTATTTTTCCTATTCTGATTTAAATTGCTTTATTATGGAAAAAAATTTCAAATGTATACAAAAGAAATGAAGATAAGATAATGAATGTCTGTAAACTCTCATCTAGCTTCACTGATGATTTTGCCCCATTTCAAATGCAGACATTTATATATTTTCTTGCATCACTGTAATACCGTATTGCACTGAATGGAACTAACTAGTCACTTGGATATTTTGGAAAGGATGGCTCAGAAAGGTATCTCTGAGGAGGTGATCGTCAGTCGTATAACTGATATTTATTGAGTACCTACTGCATTCCAGGCACTGCTTTAGGAGATAAGGCTCCCTGAGTGAAGGACATTTGAGCTAAGGTTTAAATGAATCGAAGGGGCCAGGCAAGGTGGCTCACACCAGTAATCTCACCACTTTGAGAGGCTGCGGCGCGGATCCCTGGAGACCGAGTTCAACACCAGCCTGGGCAACATAGTGAGCCTCTGTCTCTAAAAAGAATAAAAAATTAAAAAGAATAAATGGGCCAGGCACGGTGGCTCGTGTCTGTAATCCCAGCACTTTGGGAGGCTGAGTTGGGTGGATCACAAGGTCAGGAGTTCAAGACCAGCCTGGTCAACATGGTGAAACTCTATCTCTACTAAAAATACCAAAAAAATAGCCAGGTATGGTGGCACTCACCTGTAATCCCAGCTACTAGGGAGGCTGAAGCAGGAGCATTGCTTGAACCCGGGAGGCAGAGGTTGCAGTGAGCCGAGATTGTGGCACTGCACCCCAGCCTGGGTGACAGAGCAAGACTCCACCTCGAAAAAAAAAAAATTAGGAAAAGAAAGAATAAATGAAATGAACGAACATGCTGGAGTGGTTGGTTATCTGTGGGACTAGCAAGCCAGGCAGAGGGAACCGCAGATGCAGGGCCCTGAGATAAGACTGTCTGAGGAACGGACAGGACATCTGTGTGGCTGCAGTGGAGTAGGCATGAGAGGGAGGGAGTGGAGATCAGCCAGATTCGGTAGCACCTTGTGGCACATGATGAGGACTTGGGCATATGCCATGAGATGGAGCCAGGTTCAGAGCAGAGGAGTGACACGACAATTTACAGCATGAACCTAGAGGGCAGAGATTTCTGTCTATTTTATTTATTTATTTATTTTTTCTGGGTACTCCTCCCAAATGTCTCTTTAAATCTAAAAATTTTTTAAAATTCTTTTAGTGACAGGGTCTTGTGCTTTGTTGTCCAGGCTAGAGTGCAGTGCTGTGGCCATAGCTCACTGCAACCTCGAACTCCTGGGTCCAGTGATCCTCCCACATCATCCTTCCAAAGTACTAGGATTGAAGGTGGCAGCCACCACGCCTAGCCTATTTCTAACTGTTTCATTTGCCCCCAGTCCCCAGTAGATCCCAGCCTGGCACACAGTAGTAATTCAGTAAACATTTGTTGCACAAATAGAGCAGATCAGTATACATAGAGCTATGTTATTTTTTATGTTCCAGGGTGTGGGCATAGCATCATTTATTTAGTTCCCGGTGGATGGTCGTCTGGCTTCTTACAGGCTTAAGCATTGCATAATTGTTTTATTTATTATTTATTTTTTAAATTTAATTTATTTACATATTTTGAGACAGAGTCTTGCTCTCAGACTGGAGTGTGGTGGCGCAATCTTGGCTCACTGCAACCTCCACCTCCAAGGTTCAAGCAGTTCCCCTGCCTCAGCCTCCCGAGTAGCTGGGATTACAGGCACATGCCACCACACCGGGCTAAATTTTTTTGTATTTTTAGTAGAGATGGGGTTTCACCATGTTGGCCAGACTGGTCTCGGACTCCTGACCTCAGGCAATCCACCCGCCAGGAGGCTGGGGGTCTGAAAGGCTGAGTTGTGCTCCCGCAGGTGGCTGTCTCTTAAGGGGTCTAAGCAAGGCCACAATCTCAACTGGATTGAACCAGGAGTTCGGGACGGTTGCTCTTCGCCCCTAGCTGACCCTCAGAGAAGACTCAGAGAAAGAAAGTGCCCAGAGAAAGCCTCCCAAAGTGCTGAGATTCTAGGCGTGACCCACTGCGCCTTTGCATGAGATAATTATTACAATGCTCTTAGCACAGTACTGGACTGGAGGAAGTGCTTCATCTGTTAGTGATTATCATGACTATTACTATTATCACAGGGAGACCCAGATGGAGACAGGGCTGGGGGGGCAACCTAGGGTGACACACACACCTGGGGACAAGGGGCACGCAGCTCCTGTGGTGGCAGCCCTTCCATGCCCCTGACAACTGTCTCTCCTGCCTGCAGCTCCACGGAGAAGAACTGCTGCGTGCGGCAGCTGTACATTGACTTCCGCAAGGACCTCGGCTGGAAGTGGATCCATGAGCCCAAGGGCTACCACGCCAACTTCTGCCTGGGGCCCTGCCCCTATATTTGGAGCCTGGACACACAGTACAGCAAGGTACGTCTGGCCCACGGGGGTAGGAGATGCGCTGGGGGGAGCCAGGATGGAGGAAGAGGAGAGAGAAAGACAATAAAGTCAGAGAAACGAGTTGGCAGGATGGGGAGAAAGAAAGAGGGATGGGGCGGGGAGGGGAATGCATAAAGAGATGGGGAGAGAGGCATGAGAAACGAAGACTCACAGAGCTGAAGTAACAGAGGGATGGGGGTGAAGCGGAGAAGAGAGACAAGGAGATGGAAGGAAAAACGCAGAGAGAAATGGAGAGACAGAATGAGAGAGGCAGACGGGCACTGGCAGATACAGACACAGAGTTATGGCAAGGAGAGACAAAGACAGGTACACAACAAGGCAAGAGGCGAACAAGAAGAGGGACAGACTGAGAAGGAAAATCAGGACGGGCGCAGTGGCTCACGCCTGTAATCCCAGCACTTTGGGAGGCCGAGGCAGGTGGATCACAAGGTCAGGAGTCCGAGACCATCATGGCCAACATAGTGAAACCTTGTCTCTACTAAAAATACAAAAAGCTAGCTGGACGTGGTGGTGCATGCCTGTAATCCCAGCTACTTGGGAGGCTGAGGCGGAGATCGCGCCACTGCGCTCCAGCCCCCGCAACAGTGTGAAACTCCGTCTCAAAAAAAAAAAAAAGAAAATCAGACAGGTGGGAGAGACAGAATAAGATAGGATGGAAGAAGATAAGAGAGACCGAATTGGAGATGGGAAGATGCGGACTGACATGCGGGGAGAGACAAAGCGGAAGAGGCTGTTGCAGCTGGGGGAGTGGGGGTTGGGGAGTGGAGGGCTGTCTTCCTCTAGCCCTGAGCCCTGACCCTGACCCGTCCACCGCCCGCAGGTCCTGGCCCTGTACAACCAGCATAACCCGGGTGCCTCAGCGGCGCCGTGCTGTGTGCCGCAGGCGCTGGAGCCGCTGCCCATCGTGTACTACGTGGGCCGCAAGCCCAAGGTGGAGCAGCTGTCCAACATGATCGTGCGCTCCTGCAAGTGCAGCTGAGGCTCCGCCCCTCCCCGCCCCGCCCCGGCAGGCCCGGCCCCGCCCCTCCCCGCCCCACCCCGCCCCCACTGCCTTGCCTATGGGGGCTGTATTTAAGGACACCCGTGCCCCAAGCCCACCTGGGGCTCCATTAAAGGTGGAGAGAGGACTTCGGATCTCTGTGTCACTGGACGCCTGACTGGGATCTCCCTCCCTGACGTTTCCCTACTCCCACCCCATCTCCCTCCCTGTCCACCACCTCCTGCCTGTCTGCACCATTCGCCTTGCATCAAGGCACAGGCGACCAGTGGGGAACACTACTGATCCCTGCTGGTAGTTAGATCTATTTATTGAGCACCTTGGGCACTGTTTTAAGTGCCTTAGTGACCTCATTCAACCACCATAGCAACACTGAGATGCAGGGACTCTGATAAAACACCCATTTTAAAGGTGAGGAGGTCAGGCACGGTGGCTCACGCCTGTAAACCCAGTGCTTTGGGAGGCTGAGGTGGGTAGATCCCCTGAGGTCAGGAGTTTGAGACCAGCCTGGCCAACATGGTGAAATCCTGTCTCTACTAAAAATACAAAAATTAACCATGTGTGGTGGTGCATGCCTGTAATCCCAGCTACTCGGGAGGCTGAGGCAGGAGAATCTCTTGAACCTGGGAGGCGCAGGTTGCAGTGAGCTAAGATCTCCACACTGTGCTCCTCCGTCTCAGAAACAAAAAAAAAAAAGTGAGGAAACTGAAGCACAGAGAGGTTGAGGGAGGAATTCCTGCCTACCAGGAACCTGCTTTAGTGGGGGATGCTGAGGAAGACAATAAAAGTAGTTCAGGCCAGGTGGGGTGGCTCACGGCTGTAATCCTAGCACTTTGGGAGGCTGAGATGGGATGATTACTTGAATCCAGGGATTTGAGACCAGCCTGGGTAACAAAGTGAGACTCTATCTCTACAAAACATTTTTTTTTGAGATCAAGTTTTGCTCTTGTTACCCAGGCTGGAGTGCAATGTCACGATCTTGGCTCACTGCAACCTCTGCCTCCCGGGTTCAACCAATTCTTCTGCCTCAGCCTCCAGAGTAGCTGGGATTACAGGCGTGTGCCACCACGCCCAGCTAATTTTTGTATTTTTAGTAGAGACGGGATTTCACCATGTTGGTCAGGCTGGTCTTGAACTCCCGACCTCAGATGATCCACCCTCCTCAGCCTCCCAAAGTGCTTGGATTACAGGTGTGAGCCACCGTGCCTGGCCACAAAACATTTTCTTTTTAAATGTACGCTTGTGGTCCCAGCTACTCTGGAGGCTAAGGTGCGAGGATCACTTGATCCTGGGAGGTCAAGGATCAGTGGCCATCAGTGGGTCTCCCTCTGCTGTCTCCATCTCTTCCCATCTGCTATGGTCCCACTCCTGAATTCTCTCCTGCTTCCTCTTTCTCCTGCCTCTCAGTTTCCACTCTTTCTCCCAGGTTTCACTTCCCCAAGCCCAGTGATTCTCCTCCTGGGAGGGAGGACAGTGTGACTGCTGTGATTTCTTTGCCTGTGGGCATGAGAGCTGTTGGCAGCAGTGGGTCTGGGTGCCAGGGTCCTGGGGCCCTCCCAGCTCAGCCTAGGGGTAGAAATGTGGTGACTCCTCCAGCCCCAGGTCCAGAAGCACAGAGGGGTGAGGCAGAGAAAGGAGTGGGAAGCAGGAGGAGTTCACTATGCAAGGACGTGCCAACAAGTGGATAGGTATAGAGACGCTGAGGCCTGGCCCCAAGAGGCAGTCACAAGTGTAGGACACAGTGACACGGCTGTCATCGCTGCAGCCCTGGGAGGATGCGGCGCATGTACACATACAGACATACTCACACGGGGGGAAACTCGGATGGTGGCCGCAAACATTCACTTCTCACAGCCGCCGTGAACACAGACACTCCTGCAGGGCCCAGAACACGTGGGCTGTGTCATTTGGCGGCAGCTGCAGCCCACATACACACAGATACAAATAGAGTGCCAGCCCATCGCATAAACACCGCCCAGCCTGGGAGCCTCACTGGGACACAACAGGAGCAGAGACTTCAACGGGGACCTGGCGCAACACAGTAATACAAATATATTCCATAGGGTCATGGTCGCAACCACCATACACCAGACACTGATTCAAACAGACAGTGTCATGCGCGCACACACATCGCGGCATCACAGCCCCAACAGGAAATGGATCCCCCAGCAGCTGCCTCCTCTCCCACGGGGTCACAGTCACAAACAGCCCCAGGGTGCCTGTCCACGGTCGGACCCGTCACAATCCCACCAGACACACCCCACACGGAGGTTTGACGCGTCACAACCGCACAGACAGCAGGTTGGTCTTACCCACTCAGTCTGACATCCCACACCCTCCGCCACACACGCACAGCTCCAGCCTGGGGAGTCCCACAGGGCCCCACAGACTGCAGGCGACCCCGTCACGCCCAGATACACTGTCACACCCAGGGTCCCAGACAGAGCAGACACACCCCCAGGGTGGCAGACGCAGCCCTCACACGCCCAGCCCCAGCTCGTGCCTCAGCCTGAGGACAAGTGCTGGCTGCGCACTCGCGGTGTGGTCAGCCTGTCTGCCCCGCCCTCGTGACACACCCCGCCCACCTGCCCGGGGCTGCCGGCTGAGCTGGCACAGCCCCGCAGGGCGGGGAGGGGAAAGTGTGGGTTCAGCACCTTCCCTGGCCGCGTGCGGGCTGCCCCTGCCCTGCCACCCTGGCACCCAAGCCTGCTGGGTGGCTCGGCCCCGTCGGAACAAGTCTGCCCTCCGCCTGTGGCCAACCACAGGGGCAGCGCAGGGGGTTCGGGACGCCCCGCGCCCTGTTCCCGCCCCGCCCCCGCCTCTGCAGGCAGCCGGGGCCACAGAGGGAAGTCGTGGGGGGAGCCTGGGTTCCGGCTGGAGCCCCAGCTTCCTGTCCGGCCCCCGTGGGGCAGGAAGCCGCTGGGGGAGGCCAGCTCAGGCCTTCCTGCCCCCTCCCACGACAGGCCTGGAACCCGGGTCAGCGAAGGGGAGCGGGGAGGTGGGTGGGTCAGCGACAGAAAGCCCCTTCCCCCTCATTCTCTGGACATGCAGAGTGTTTGAGGTTCCAGTGTGGATTTGTGTTAGGACCTTATTGTTATGTCTGTGTGATTGCGAGCTTTGTGGTTTGAGTTGTGTCTCAAATGGGGTGTTCTGGGGGCCTGCATGCTGTGTGTACGGAGTGCCTCGTTTGTGTGTCCCCAGCACGTGTTAGCTCCGTGTGTTTGTGGCAGTGCCGCATTTCTGGGGTGTGCGTCTGCGTTTTGTATTTCTGCTGGGCAAGCTGTTGTATTTTCTGTGGGTTTTGTGCCCTGGCACTGTTTGATTCTGCCAGTTGGCCATGTATCTGGGGCATATCGTGTCTCTGATACTTTTCTGAACATCTTCACTGTTATTCTGGGTATAAATTTGTACATTTTTTAGTGTAAGTTTGACTTGAAATGTGGGTGTTTTCTGCATGTTAATCTATCTGTGTGAATGTGTGTGTGTGTGTGTGTGTTTGTGTGAGATGGAGTCTTGCTCTGTTGCACAGGCTGGAGTGCAATGGCACAATCTCGGCTCACTGCAACCTTCGCCTCCTGGGCTCAAACGATTCTCCTGCCTCAGCTTCCCGAGCAGCTGGAAATTACAGACACCCACCATCATGCCTGGCTCATTTTTGTATTTTTAGTAGAGATGGGGTTTCACCATGTTGGCTAGCCTGTCTCAAACTCATGACCTCATGAGCTACCCACCTCGGCCTTCCAAAGTGCTGGGGCTACAGACATGAGCCACCACGCCCAGCTGTGTGTGTTCTTACACGAGACTGGTGAGTTGTGAGTTGTTTTCTGGGTTGCATTGTGATCAGTGTGTGTCACTGGTATTCTGAGCATGTTTGTGTGTCTACGTGGTGTGTCCAGCATGCTTGCTGTGGTTCTTGGTGTATGCGTGTGTGAGGGAGGGCTGTACTTCCGGGTTGTGTGTCCGTCTCAGGGACTGGTGTTTCCAGCCTGTGGGTGCTGTGAGCAGGTGCTAAGGTGGTGTCTGCATTGTGTTCCCACAGGAGAGCTGGCAACTGCGGTGTGTGGAGTTGTGTGTGTCTGTTGTGCATCACCATTGAGGGCGTTTCACATTCTCAACAGGGTTGGATGTGTGTATTGCAAGCAGCTGCGAGTGTGGGTCTTGGGTCTGCATTGTGTGCTGGGTGCATCCATGAAGCTGCCGGCATCGTAAGCGGCCAGTGCCTGTTGGCCACCATACCCAGCACAGGCTGTTTCTGCGGCGCGTCCCCTTACCAGCTGGTGCCACGCTGGCTCGAAGCTGGCTGTGGCAGCAGGCAGGGCAGGGCAGGGGCTGTGGTGGGCACTGGACCCACGCCCAGCCTTGGTATAAATATCCCAGGCTGCCGTCGGCTGTGTTTGCTGTGTTTACTCGGCCTCAGCCCCGGCCCGGGGGCGGCAGCAGCCCAGCAGGTCCAGGGGGTGGGGGTGACCAGGCCACAGCACAGACATTTCCTTCTGGACAGACAGGCCCCGCAACCTCGCTGCCCCCTCCTGCGCCCTTTTTGGGTGGGCGAGAGGTGGTGACCTCTCATTCTGGGTTTCCAGGGGCTGCCAGTGAGGCTCCAACCAGGTTGTCCCAGCTGGGATTCCCAGAGTGTGGGAGACAGATGGGGACTGGGGTACAGGCCAAGACACACAGCAGGGAGGGGAAAGGGCAAAGTGAGGGTAGAACAGAGCCCCCAGAGGGAGGCTCCAGCAGAGAAAGGGACAAGGAAACAAGGTGGCAGGAGCTGAGAATGGCTGGGGACAAGGAGTGGAAAAGGTGGGGAGGAGAGGGAGGGAGGGAGAAGCATGTGAAAAACAAGGGAGGAGGGGGGAGACGGAAAGTAATGGGGAGACACTGACAACTAGAGAGGTGCGGAGACAGAACCAGAAGACAGCAGTGGCGGTGAGGGAGGAAGGCAGCGGGCAGGAAGGAAACGCAGAGAAGCAGGGAGAAGTGACTGTGGACAGAAGGACGGAGCAACAGGAGCTGGAGGGGGAGTGCAGGGAGGCAGCTCTGGCAGGACGCACGGGGGGGGGGGGGGGGGGGGGGGGGGGGGGGGGGGGGGGCAGGGGTGCCGGCCAGGCCAGTGCGCCAGGCCAGGGCCAGGACTG